TTACATTTATCATGTGCTGACTTTTAAGCCTCTGATCACAGTAGCTCCATGCTTAAATATCATGTCTTAAAAACGTTTTAGGTACAGCTGAAGCCAGCTGCTGGTTTTCAGGTCTTCATGTGCAGGTGTTTGGGGGTAGCTGGGGCTGGAGGGAGGAGCATCAAAAATAAACAATCACAGTTTCTGTTTCTTTTTTTAAAATCACACGACAGGGACGTCTAACAAAGCAACACCTTCTTGGTTCCCCATCAGCCCACCTTCAGACCATCGTGGTGGACTCGCTCGTGGCAAACAGGCTGCTGAAGCTAGTTTGGTTCGATGCCTGAACTCATACACAGGACTGTGTGCCACTTCAGCCGGTCTGGGCTCCACCCGCTTCCTCTCATCTTCCTCATTTCCATAAAAGTGACTTCACCTCTGGCTGTGCGTTGATGGTCTGTTAAGAAAAGATGACGCTCTGCACGCTTTGTTTCCAAACGTCGGCTGACAACAGGCGCACGACGCTCCACTTCCAGGGAAAAACTCTGAGGAGCAAACTGTCCAGGCAGAATCAGACAGGCCTGATGTGAAGTCTGCATCACGCTGATGCCGCAGATGTTTTCCTTAGATTTCAGATTTAGACACTAATGGACGGCTTCGTGTCATCTGAGTCAATTTAAGTCTTTCTCTTTAGACTCGCAGGTCTGTTTGGGATTTCTCGTGGTCACATCATACGACTGTAAGGTAAATAGAGCAGCTGGAGAGGTAATTACCAAGAGTTCATCAGCAGATCATTTGATTGTCTCAGATTTCTCCTCCTTTGTTTTAGAGCCCGTGAAGACGGATGTTTCTCAGACAGTTTAAATTCTGCATCAGATTTGACGTCCAGAGGATGGTGACATGCTGAGTAAGCCTCTCGATAAGCTAGCTCTTATGTTTATAAATATTTCTAAATTTCCTCAGCTATCACTTTAATTACATTATGGGCCAGAACATTAGGAACACAAAGGAGAAACAGGGCTTTTGTGATTTTTCTGTTTTCAGAAAAGATCGTGAACATTTATAACAAGATGTTTAAATTCCAAAAAAGAGCAAAAAGTCTTAGGATATTTAGACGTCACGTTCTCACTGACAGAGCTGAAGGGTTTTTACCGTAAGCATATTATTACCCTTTATTCTGATTTCCAATAACACATATTAAGACAAATTTACTCAGATCTATTTTTCATGTCACGGTGTTCAGGTTGCTGAGAAAATCCACAATACAAAGCCTGCAAGGTGACGGCCAAAACCTACCAGAGAACAAACCAAGGACACTACGGACACCAAAGACTGAGGGGAAGGACAGGGCTATTTATACACATGAAGGTGATCAGAGAAGTGGAAACACAAGGGTAAGGAGGCACCGCTGAACAAGACAGTGAGACAAGAGGAGGGAAGTAAGACTGAACATGAAGTTAGAATAATTACACGAGGAACAGCAGAGATGAATGAACTTAACGTGGAGGCAAATGGACGGGACAAAGAAAACACTTACAGAATAAACCAAAACAGAATAAAATAGAGAACTAAAAAGAACTAAAGACAGAGTAACTAAGAAAACACAAGAAAATCCAAACAGATTCACTGACCAAGCAAAGGAGTCCCAGAGAAAAAGAAGAAATCAGAACAGTTGCATCACAAAGTGTTCTCGACTTTATCCGCTGTCTCTTTATCATTTGGAGAGCCGCTTTAAGCTTTAAGCCTGCCGACCTACACAATGTTTGTGCAGCAGACACACAACTGATGTATCGCACAACTGCTGCGATCAGAAGTAATCCATAGCGCTGACCGGCTTATCGCTGCATACAGGAGCGTCCCAACTGTGGGTGATCTGAATGATTGAAAAAAAGGATTAGCTCCCACAAACCCACTAAAAACATTTAAGTTGGATGTGAAGTTTTCCCATCTCGCCTCGTTCTGAATGTCAGTGTAAAATTATACTTTATTGTCAGCTGATTTTAAAGCTCTGTGATGACCTGCAGATGAACTCATTCACTTCCTTTAGCAGACACTTTCATGAGAAAGCCGTCACATTTCCCACGTCAGATTTATCCTGTTGCTCCTGAGAAGTTATTATTAATCCAGCAGCATGCAGCGCTTACTTGCTTCTTATGAGTGAAAACACAGACGTGTTTATTAATTTACCACGTCAATCTTTTATGCTCATTATATCGCTTTAATAACGGAGTTATAAAAACATATTTATTGTTCTTCTTCTTTGCGAGCTACATATTCATAGTTAAAGACAGGGGTGGTGGAGCTCCAGGGATCGAAGGCCGGTGTCCTGCAGGTTTTACATCTCACCCTGGGTCAGCACACCTGAATCACATGGTTAGTTCATTCAAGACATGTTGAGGAGGTCATTTATCCATTTAAATCAGCTGTGATGGGTCACGGACACGTCTGAAACCTGCAGGACAGCGACCCTCGAGGCCGAGCTCCGGCTCTGAGGCAAAGTGATCGATTACAGGCTCTGTTAGCATCACTGACGATGAGGATTTATTTAAAGATATGTATGACAACATATTTCTGTGGACTTAAACTATTTTTAGTGCAGTGATTCTTTATCAAATAATTTATTTACAAACAACAGCATAAACATATTGCAAATAGATATTAGTACAGATAACATATATACAGATACGTCGATGATCCTGGTCCCACGGCCAGTAACAGAGTGAGCTTCATCCCGACTGATCAGCACCTCCGGGAGGAGTTGGGGAACAGTCACTGTGATCGTTATCGATGATTTCAGGTTAACGGGCACGTTTACTTTAATCCCCCCACGCTCTTCCTCGGTCGACGGCTTCACTCAGCTGTTTGTTTTATGTTTCGCTGTCGTTCTTAAAAGTTTCATTTCTTCTTTTCACTTTTGCCTCTCAGTTAACTTCATGCAGCGAAGCTTCAAAGCAGTTTTCATGAACCTGGAAAACATGTTTCTGTATTTCTGTGATGAAAACACAAATTCAGACCAGAAAAAATTGTCACAATGATCAAAAGAGGAAACTGTGAGGACGTGAAATGTGTTTGATTGTATCGGTGCTGCTGATTCGCTCTTTGAGATATTTCTCCCAGGCCGGACTGAGACCTTGTTTTCCAGCCGGCGCTCCACCAGGCAGGGTGCAGTAGAGAGCAATTACACCACCATCTGCCCTGCAGGGATTTACTGTGGTTTACTGGTCAGGATTTTACAGGCTGCGTTCAATAAACATATTCAAACATTTTCAAACAGCACGCAGCCATCTCTCCGGCCTGTTGTGTCTTTCCCGGCTGTAATTACACTCGTGTTTCCACAACCGCCATCTCAGGTTTCACAACGCGGCAGGAAGCTAAAGCGGCGACTAATCAGCTGTAATGGAGGAAAGAGCTGCCGCAGATTAAAGGCTGCTCACGATCAATATGGCCGACATTTCTACATGTGCTTACACATGTCATCGCCGCCAGGGAAAACCTCGATGGCAACGGAAACACGAAGATGCTCTGAGAAGTCGTCGGCGCCCTCGGTTTTCCAAAGGATTATTACCATGTACTGTGAAAGGTGATATTTCTGTTCTTTTCTTTCACTGCTAACGTTTGTTAGAGCAACAGCAGGCTGGAAAACGAGGAGCAGCACGTTATGTTGCCACAGCAGAAAGTGATAAAGCAAAAATCTCATTTTTGTCAAAAAATGCTGAAAATCAGCCTCCAAACCTCTGTGTGCTTTGACAGGATGTAAGGAGAATCCAGGGATCTTCAGATCTGCTCTTTGAACTCTAAACTGGGAAAGATTAAAAAGTACAGCAGATATTTGTAAAATATTTGTCCTGGACGATGAAGCAGGATTAGAGGAAGAGTATCTGGTCCAAACTGGCATCATGATAGACAGATTCCTCCTAAAAGATGGACGATTGTCAATAATGGATTTAACAGATGTCGGGAGTGTTGTGTTGATTTTTCAGCTCTGTGTGAGTGTTCATCTGTCTTTGTGGGAGTGCTGGATCTGTGAGGCCATGTGATAAAGACCAGAGGTTTGGCTGCCTGACTGGTAACACGCAGGTTGCTGGTTTGAGTTCTTGTTGAGTCTGCATCTACACCATCACTGAAAAAGCCCACAATGTCCAGAAGTCCACAGCTACAGGACGGTTTCATCTGTCTACAAATAGTAAGAATCAACATCTGCACATTTATTTTCTGTTGCAGTTCACACACACACAC